GTCGTGTAGTCTGGTAGAAGTTTACCGATGTTTCACAGGTCCTTGCTGCCTCCATTATCAGAGCGATGAGACCGCAAGGACTTGTGAAACGTCGACATACTTCTACGCTATATATGAAGTATCTCAAAAGTTAAAGATTTAAGGACTGGATTTATTTGGTGTTTCAGGAGATCAGTGGCAGAACTACGTTCCAGTATCTGTCACTAATTAATTTACTATTTTTTATCTTTAAACAATGGATATTAGATGTTACCACTGAAATGTACCACGGCAAGGAGGTACATACGACTAAAATTGTAAGATATTTTTAAAATCGAGGATACTCACTCACTGTCCCTGGACTGTGGAAGCGTTGTGGTCCCTGTGAACTTCTCGCCGGGGCTGCTCCCCCGTGTTCGCCTGGCGCCTGCCCCATTCCTAACCAGGGACGTCTTTTTGTATCCTTTCTCGGCCGGACTGGAGCCGCGTGATCTAGAATTCCCTCTGTTGAAGTTGGTCGTTTCGGATGAACTGTTTAAGCCAATAGACTCCGGGCTCTTGGACAATGACCCGGGCCTCATGACCATCATGCCGATATCACTGGGCATTGAGCAGCATGATCTGCAAATATAGACAATCCTGAAGAAGGCACTGACCGGGATCTATAAACTAAATGTTAGCGAATTATTATAAGGCCGTAGATCGACATGATCGATTCTCGGTTTATTTACGATAAACCCTCCAAATCATGTACAATATATGTAGTATAACGATAATCCCGAGAGCTATGCCGGCGGTAGCTTTGCTACCGGTAGGGCCTCCCAAGCCGGACAGGTCAAGGGTAGGGACCAGACTAAGAGAAATACCCTGGTCCTCCAGGTTGGGGGTTGGATCGTAGGGCCAACACCCCTACATCTGTAAAAAAATTATATATGTTGAGAAGCCTCGAGGAGGCTAGGGCTCGATTTTGGGCTGTTACGCCATAGTAGTAGTAGTAGTAGTATATGTAGTATAAAATATTTACTTCAAATGCTATTTTGTATAATTTTGGAAATGCATATGTTTTGTTTTTCTCGTTACCTAACGACGCTTTCTATAATTCACAAGTTATATAAGAAGTTGTAAGTTTTGAGGTTTTCACGGCCGAGAGTTCGAAGATTTCTGTCTTCTGGGTTGTTGCGCTGTGTAGTCTGGTTGATGTTAACCAACGTTTCAGAGGTAATACTGCCTCCTTCATCAGGGCGATGAGTATGAAGATTTCTGTCTTCTGGGTTGTTGCGCTGTGTAGTCTGGTCGATGTTAACCAACGTTTCAGAGGTCATACTGCCTCCGTCATCAGGGCGATGAGTATGAAGATTTCTGTCTTCTGGGTTGTTGCGCTGTGTAGTCTGGTCGATGTTAACCAACGTTTCAGAGGTCATACTGCCTCCATCATCAGGGCGATGAGTATGAAGATTTCTGTCTTCTGGGTTGTT